TTTATCTAAAAGTCTCAAGCCTTATGGTTGGGAGTTAAATCTGTTGAAAAGTTTATTATTAGTTGTAAACATCGGACAAGTAATCAATTCAGGGAACTATTTCGTTTGAATTATGATTAAACAATAATTAAATAAATACCTGGTATCTTATTTTTTTAATATTAAAAATGGCTGAATCATTGCATTTTTTAGGGTTAACAACGGTTCTAATATTTTGATTTTATCTCAGCGAATCAGTTCAACCGACATGTCTGATCCAATTTTAGCAATCGTATTTACTAATTTTAATGATTTAAAGATCTATTGAAGAGTTTATTATTTGTTGTAAACATCGGACAAGTAGTTAAACCAATGAGACTATTGGTTCTCGGTTTAATTGTTTGAATTATGATTTAATAATAATTAAATAAAAATTAGAAATCAATTGAACATAGGTATTTTAGGGTTCACAACAATCTGCATATTTTAATTATTCCATTGATTTTAGTGAACGAATCATCACTCTTACTTCAATCAACCAATTCAGCTGATAACCATAATTATCAATTTAATAATTTAAAGATATATTTTTATATTCAATTCTAAAATTAATGAATAATTAATAGATTCAAGCTTGTGGATCTAGTCAAAATGAGCTTGAAGATGGAAAATATGGCCCGGTTTGGTCCGTATACTGATCTAGTGTTAACTAGAGAGGAAGCAAACATGAACCCCCTTTCAGTTGTGCTAGGAATATTACGTTAAATTTAGTCATTCTGTAGACTTTAATGAGCAGTCAGTAGAATCCTATAAAAAGTAAACATTGGTTTTAACTTCAAACCTCGCTCTGGCAAATTTTCCATGACACAAACCATAAGAAAACTTTGCTCTAAACTGCATGGACAAGTCAGCTCTGTAATACAAAAGGCTGTCAGATGATTTAATGAAAAACGGTTCATGCAGACTAGAAACACCGCAACCTATGGCATACCACAAAGCCTCCAAGAACCTAATCCAAACTTCAATGGCGTTACTGTCTCCCTCTCTCCTTTGCTTTCGAAACTTGGTTATATAAAGTGTTGATTCAAGCCAAATGAAGTGCACTCTTTCAATAACAACTAAACTCATCTTCACATCGCCATGGCTTCCGATGGTGACATCTCTTTGGAGCAGATCAAGAAATCCCTGTGGAGGAGGTTTTTCAGCATCTGAAATGCACGAGAGAGGGTTTGACATCAGCGGAAGGAGAGAAAAGGCTTCATATCTTTGGCCCTAACAAGCTTGAAGAGAAAAGGAGAGCAGACTTCTTAAGTTCTTGGGCTTTATGTGGAATCCTATGTCTTGGGTGATGGAGGCTGCTGCTATCATGGCCGTTGTTTTGACCAATGGAGGTGGCAAGCCTCCAGACTGGCCTAACTTTATCGGTATCGTTTCCTTTCTTTTCATAAACTCAACCATCAGTTTCATCGAGGAAAACACGCCGGGAATGCTGCAGCTGCTTTGATGGCTGGTCTTGCTCCCAAAACAAAGATACGTTTATTTGCTTGTCTTTTGCTAGTCTAGAGCTCCTTTCCTATGTTCCGTCAACTTGATTGGTTCACTTTGCAGATTTTGAGAGATGGGACATAAGGTGAACAAGAAGCTGCAATTCTGGTACCAGGAGATGCAATTAGTGTCAAATTGGGAGATATCATACCGGCAGATGTTCGTCTTTTGAAAGGCGATGCACTTAAGATAGATCAATCTGCCCTCACTGGTGAGTCCCTACCTGTTACCAATAATTCAGGTGACAAGGTCTTCTCGGGATCTACCTGCTAACACGGTGAGATCGAGGCTGTTATCATCTCCCCTGATGTTCACACCTTCTTTGGTAAGGCTGCTCACCTTGTTGACAACACCAACAATGTTGGTCACTTTCAACAGGTATTATAATTGTGTTCGTTTCTCTATGTGATGATGCAAATCAATCATATTTTAATTATGTAATAATAATCAACTGCTATCAAATACCTTAATGGAACAGGTATTGACAGCCATTGGTAACTTCTGTATCTGCTCAATTACTGTCGGAATGCTCATTGGGATCCTGGTGATGTACCCGATCCAACAGAGGATATATAGAGATGGTATTGACAATCTTTTGGTGCTTCTCATCGGAGGAATCCCAATTGCCATGCCTACTGTCCCGTTGGTAACAATGGCTATCGGGTCTCACCGCTTGGCACAACAAGGAGCCATCCCATCACCAAAAGGACGACTGCCATTAAAGAAATGGGAGGGATGGATGTCTTGTGCAGCGATAAGACCGGGACTCTCGCCCTCAACAAGCTAACAGTCGACAAGAGTCTCATTGAAGTGTTCATAAGTGGTATGGATGCCGACACCCTTATGCTGATTGCTGCAAGAGCTTCCAGGGTTGAAAACCAGGATGCCATTGATGCTTCAATTGTAGCCGTAGGGATGTTGGGAGACCCCAAAGAGGTATCTGATACAGTCCACATTTCATTCATATGGCCTGCAATTGCAATGCTATTGCATGTCTTTATTCCCCTCCAGAATAAGACTTGCTGATTTTGCTACTTATCAATCTATTGGAAAGAGTTGGAATCACTGAGATACACTTCTTACCATTCAACTCCGTGGATAAGCGGACTGCTATCACCTACAATGACAGAAACGGCGAGTGGCATCATTGTAGCAAGGGTGCTCCAGAGCAGGTAAGATATTGATTACATCAACTGAATTTCAATGGTAGTTCATTTCTCATCTTCGAGTAATCGTCGCTTACACTAGTTCGGTTTCTGAATTTACAATCTATTGAGCAGGTAAGACTTGAGGCAAAAGGCGCTTGATGTCATTGACAGTTTTGCCAACCGTGGTCTCCGGGCCTTGGGAGTAGCTAGACAGGTAGGTGACTGTAATGCTAAATGATTTTATATGATTGTCTATTAAGAACGACCACTTCTCTAATGAAATTTTTTGGTCTTTCCATAGATAATCCCGGAGAAGACAAAGGAAAGCGCTGGAGGACCATGGGAGTTCGTGGGCCTCTTGCCTCTGTTTGATCCTCCAATGCATGATAGTGCCGAGACTATTCGACATGCCCTTGACCTTGGTGTCAATGTTATGATGATCACCGGTGACCAGCTTGCTATTGGAATAGAGACCAGTCGCAGACTTGGCATAGGGACAAATATGTATCCATTGTCCTCCCTCCTTGGCCAGAGTAAGGATGAAGCTCTTGCTACCATTCCTATTGATGAGCTCATCGAGAAGGCTGATGGATTCGCTGGAGTCTTCCCTGGTAATTGAATAATCATCTCAAGTCTCAAATTTGCTAAACAAACCAGCAATATTCATAGTAGATTTAATGTGTAAGGTCTATTACTTAATTACTTACATTTTTTTGTATGCAGAGCACAAGTACGAGATTGTTAAAAGGCTCCAAGAATTGAAGAACATATGTGGCATGACAGGAGACGATGTCAACGATGCCCCGGCACTTAAGATAGCTGATATCGGTATTGCAGTGGCAGGTGCAACCGATGCTGCAAGGAGTGCCTCAGACATAGTCTTAACCGAGCCAGGATTGAGCGTGATCGTGAATGCGGTTTTGACGAGCAGAGCCATCTTCCAGAGGATGAAGAACTACACAATTTATGCTGTTTCCATCACAATTCGTATCGTGTTGGGTTTCATGCTGATTGCTCTCATCTGGCAGTTCGACTTCTCACCATTCATGGTGTTGATCATTGCCATCCTCAACGATGGAACCATCATGACCATCTCCAAGGATCGATTCAAACCATCTCCTTTGCCCGACTCATGGAACCTGAAAGAAATCTTCGCCACCGGCATCGTCCTTGGGGCTTACATGGCGATCGTGAGGAGATATTTTTCTGGCTTGTTCATGACACTCGGTTCTTCACTGTGAGTGAATCACACTGACCAAAAATCAACCAAATTACTGACCAAAAAATGAAGATTTGCTTCCATTATTGCAGGAAAAGTTTGGGGTGAAGCCGACTAATGGTAACACGTATGAGCTGACTTCAGCTCTATACCTTCAAGCGAGAATCATCAGTCAAGCACTCATCCTTGTGACAAGGTCAAGGAGCTGGTCTCTTGCTTCTTGTCGCCTTCCTTGTAGCACAGCTGGTCAGCATATTCATATATCATATATATACATATATAGATATTTTAATTCAAAATTTCACTTATATTTGTGTTGAATAAAGGTGGCAACTTGCATTGCGGTTTATGCAAACTGGGGATTCGCCAAAATCCAAGCCATTCGATGGGAATGGGCAGGAGTTATCTGGTTATTTAGCTTAATTACGTACATCCCTCTTGATATCCTCAAGTTCATCATCCCCTCCACTTTGACCGGCAAGGCCTGGGACAATCTGCTTCAGAGCAAGGTCAATACATTTTCTTTGTCTTTGTTGAAGACTTTTTGCTTTGACTAAATTTATGTTTCTTCTTCTCTGATAATCAATTAAGACTGCATTCATGAATAACAAGCATTATGGAAAGGAAGAGAGAGGCACAATGGGCAGCAAATCAACGTACCCTTCACGGCCTTTCACCGCCGGAAATCAGCTGGGCCAATGAGAAGAGCCACCGCGAGGTGACGGAAATAGCTGAGCAGGCTAAGAAGCGTGTTGAGATTGCAAGGTAATTTGTTTAGCAGTTGCCTCCACTGCCGCCATTATTGAGAAGCATGCAAGCTTTCAACATTATTATCTTTTTCCCCCGACAAACTAATGAAGTTTGACATCGATTTGGAGGGCTGAGGGAGCTCCACACTCTCAAGGGTCATGTTGAATCAGTGGTTAAGTTAAAGGGAATAGACATCGATAAGTGAAGGAACGTACTACGTAGTTGGAATTTATGAATTTCCCAAATTAAGTCATATTTGATGTTGACATTTAAATTCAGACTCGCTGTTCGTATACAAATCGGTGTTCACAAGAGTAGTTTGTAACTTTTCGTAAGCTTAAATTTCAAGTGACACTCACTAATCATTATATGAATTTGTTTCATGCCTATCTTACATTCATGTAATTTAAAATTGAAGGAATTGTTCGGGAAATACAGACATTCATTGCTATAAACAAGCCGATCAGCCAAATCAAAATACAAATATATATATATATATATATATATATATATATATATATGCTGAGGTCCTTCTCCTTCCACTGAAATGTGAAGCAAATATCGAAACTCGACTTCAGAAGTATTTACTATCATTTACCTTGTCCCTTTAATCCTGACAGAGGCTTCGATACATCTTCCATGGATGGCCTGTCAGCTGGCCTGCTTCTGGTGCAAAGCAAAGCAACTTCAACAAACAGTTTTATTTCATCTTGCAATGAATTGGTGGAATCAGTTGATTCATTTTCATTACAAATTTCTCTCAAAAGAACATCCTTTGGTTTGCTCTGAATGTTTTCTCCACCATTTATCAGCCTACCATTAGTTAGAATTTCCATAATTATCTCCCCAAACTTGTATATGTCCATGTATAGTTCATCTTTGATATCTTCATTGGATTGACCACCTATTTCAAATTCCAAATGAGAATTCAAGATTGTTACTTTTATTGTTTGAAATAGGGAAACTTTGAATAAATGAATTCAAGGAAAGTAAATAGATAACTTGTACCTTTTGTCAACTCTATCAGGTACTTGAACCCGAAATCGGCTATACGAGGTTCAAAATTATCATCGAAGACTATGTTACTTGACTTCAAATCTCCATGAGAAATTGCAGGATTGCAGTCATGGTGAAGGAAGCAAAGTCCCTTTGCAATTCCAATTATAATTCTGCACTTGGTTGACCAATCTCTTGGGATTCTTACCTTCTCGGCCAAATTTCCATTAGGCAAGTAATCATACAACATGTAAGCCATATGCTTGTTGTAGCAGAAACCAAGTAATCTGATCAAATTCCTATGCCTTGCATTTCCCATTTGTGTAATAAATTCTGAGGCAGCCTTTATTCGCTTTGGCTCCCATTCTATCTTTTTCACCAAAACTGTTATTCCAGTAGGTAGCACTGCTTTGCAAACGGCAGCTGATAGCGGTGGCAGTTCATCCATGGACTCACTCGAATCGAAACTCCTCAAAACGTCATTTGCTTTAAACTGTGGGAGTCCGATAAAAGAGTCCATTTTCCATTGGCCTTTGCTTCCTTTGCGGAGATAAACTAGCCAGAAAACCAATGCTGAAATGAGTATGGCTATTCCTGCAGAGAGCAAAAGAACTAACCTAAGCTTTCCAGTGCCTTTGCTTCCAAAGATGGCCATTGAAGCCGAACATGATCTGAGAGGTGCACCACATAGCTCTGGGTTTCCAACATATGCACTTCTATCCATTGATTGCAGTACTTTTTCAGAGGGAATGGAACCAGATATATCATTGAATGACACATTTAGAAGTAATAAGTTCGTGGATTTCCCAAACTCTACAGGGATTGAACCGCTAAAATTATTATGTGACAAATCCACTACACTTAGAGCAGGAAGACTAGCAAGCTCCTCTGGTATGTGACCAATCAACTGATTGCTGGCTAAATTAATGATCTCAAGTGTCTTGCAATTGGATATACTCTTTGGGACAACTCCTGACATATTGTTCATCTGCAATTCAACAAGAAGCATGGATTTGCATGATCTGAAAGGAGGTAGATTCCCTGAGATGTTACAAGATGACGCAGAGAAATTTTGAAGAAGTGGCAAAGACCAAGTTTCTTCTGGGACCATTCCTCCTAGTTCTGGATTGTTAGAGACATTGAAATATTGAAGCCTTGAAGCTTGAAAAAAATCCGAGGGAATTCCACCAGTAAACCTATTCCTGGAAAAGTCTATGTATGTAACATCTGGAAGATGGCTGAGCGTCAAAGGAATTTCACCAGAGAATGAATTGTCCTCGAGTCGAATGCGAACAAGCGAAGAACAATTGGATAAAGGTGAGAGATTGCCTGTAAACTTGTTGGAAAACAGGATTAATTTAAAAAGCTCACCACCTGCGCAGATATGGGGTGGAATGCTGCCAATGAAGCTGTTGGTTGAAACATCCAACCATCTCAGTTTCGAGTTCTTGCCCAAGTTTCTTGGAAGTGATCCAGTGAAGAAATTGTTCCATATAAACAAAGTATCAAGTGATGGAAGTTCCGCTATGCCATCTGGGACACTGCCGTTCATTACATTGTACATGAGACTGAGCAGTCTTAGATTCTTCAGTTCAGCAAAACTCTCGTGAATAGGCCCAGATATCAAATTATCAGAGAGATCCAAGTTGGTAAGAGGCAAGATTCTGCTGAACTCCCATGGAATCAGTCCAGTGAGCTGGTTTCTGAAGAGAAAAAGTGACTGAAGCTTGGTGAGATTTGAGAGCTGCTTGGGGATCGAGCCCGAGAGATTCGCACTAGCAATATCAAGATACTGAAGCTCACTCATGTTGCCCAGTTGCCATGGGATGTTCCCTTCATAAGAATTGTACCCAATCTCCATATGTTCCACGGTCTGGAGATTACCCAATTCTGGTGGTATGTTTCCAGAGAGGAAATTCCCAGCTAAGTGAAGAAATTCCAAGCTCTTAAAAGACCCATATGCAGATGGTATTGGTCCATTGAAGTAACTCCCAGCTAAGTTGAGAACCTTAAGGAATTCAAGCTCGGAAAGTTCAACAGGCAACGGACCTGAGAAACTATTGCTGAAAGCATCAAGAACAACCAGGTTTCGAAGAACATTGATCCCTCCAGGGAAATGGCCAGAGAAATTGTTTCTGCTTATATCCAAGCTTCTTAGACTGGTGAGGTTGAAGATTTCAATGGGAATCTCTCCAGAGAAAGCGTTTTGACTGATGTTGAGTTCAACAAGCTCAGTGAAGACACTGAATTGCTTTCCTGGTAATTTACCCCCAAGTTTCTTCGTGGAAAGGTCTAAACCAATAACAACGGCGGAGTTGTTGTCGCATTTGATACCAGACCAAGAACATGCATGAACTTTCCCCGAACGGTTTTCACCATGACGCATCAACCAATCATCCAGACTGTGAAAATGATCGATAATCTCTGATTTGAAGCTCAACAGCGCGTCTGAATAAGGATCAGCAGCTAATACCACTGCAATTAGTATGGAAGACAAGAGGAGTTTCAAGTGTGGCCACAGGAAAATCTCCATTGGAACTCGCGGGGAAGAAGGAAGAGAGACAAACTATACTGCAAGTGGTGTTTTCCTGTGCTTTTGTTAGAGGAAGTTGGTTGCATGGGAAATAGCGATTAGTTGAGATATGAGAGAATAATATTTTGCCTTTGGGTACAGCATGGGGACATGCGGTCCTTAGTTTATTCGGATCATGTTTGCCATTACCGAATAAAGCTTTCTTTGAGCCATCTTTAATTTCCTTACTTTTCACTGGAGAGAATCCTATACAATTTGTCGCCATGTTCTTAATTTTGATTACTATATAAACACTGTGGGGCCACCACTAAAATCATCATATTCACTTAAATAAACAAAAAGAAAACAGGGCTTCCTTTTTCATGATCCATTGCAATTGAAGCAAAATTGGATAATCATAGATAAAGGTGAACCATTTTTTTAATTGTAAAACTCTATACTTACTACCCAATTAACATACCAGTTACTGTTAATCATTCATTATAACATCAATAACTATAATTTTTTTAATAAATTTTTTATTATCAATAATATTAATCTTAAATCGATCACTAATCATTCATTTTTTTCTTTCCCTTTGTAATTACGAAACACGGGCTTTGATAGGGTTTATAACATCACATAATGATAATAACGATACATCCTAGTCAATATATTTGAATTAGTTTGTAACATGGAAGCTATGGTCGTACATGCATGGACAAAGATAAAGATGTTTGATAGGATCTTCGTATTATATCATATTGTTGAAAAGACAGGAGCAGGTGCGGAGAAGGTAAGGATAAAGACGAGAGTTTTAGTAAAAAGCGACACAATTTTCCTTGATTTACGATGACCTTAACCCCTTTTTTTATCAAGGAAATTAATTAAAGGGTAAACTACACGTTTAATACTTAAACTATCAATTTTGATCTGTTTTAACACTTAAACTTTTAATTTTTTTAAACATACCTAACGTTTAGTTTTTATTTCATTTTAGTACCCTTCATCAAAAACTTAACGACAGAGTTGACATGGTATTTTTTAAAAATTATTATCTTAATTTTAAAATTATTATTTATATTATTATTTAATTAATTTTATTCAACCAATAAGAATGTGACACATGTTACGACCATATTAGAAATAGAACAAAGGAAAAATCTCCTTATAGGAGACATTACCAGGAATCGAACTTGGGCGTCCTTGGAGAAAAGATGAGAGAAAAGATAAGGCGGTAAAATTATTATTTATATTATTATTTAATTAATTTTATTCAACCAATAAGAATGCGACATATGTTACGACCATATTAGAAATATAACAAAGGAAAAATCTCCTTATAGGAGACATTACCAGGAATCGAACTTGGACGTCCTTGGAGAAAAGATGAGAGAAAAGATAAGGCGGTGCCCAGATGGTTGGGCAATTACTTTTCATCTAAGGGTACCCAGGTTTGAATCTTGGCAATATCTCCTTTAAGAAGAATTTTCGTCAATTCTACTTCTAATAAGTGGTTACACGTATTATCTTTGTATTGGTGAAATAAAATTAATTAAATAATAATTTAAAAATTAAGAAAATAATTTGAAAAAGACCATGTCAGTTATGTGGTTATATTTTTAACGGTGAAGTATTACAATAAAATAAAAATTAAATATTAAGTATGATTTTGAAAAAAATTAAAATTTTAGATACTAAAACGAATTAAAACCAATAATTTAGGTACTAAAATCATATTTAACCTTAATTAAATTTTGAAAAATAAAATAAAACAAAGGTTGTACCTCTATCCTTCCTTGCAATGCGTGTTCCCTGGCGGTGACTGTTAGTCTCTGTGGTCCGCATGCAATCCAATGATTACACATACAAAGGAGAGAGTAAGAAGAAAGAAAGAGAGTAGGAAAGAATCCCTATGGGGATAGATGGAAGTGGCATCTAACAATAATGGAGGGTTTTATGATTAAGATGAGATTAAAGTTTTGAGTAACCCTAAACCCTAATCAATCCTTTTAACTTCTTCTTAACGGTAAATTTGACCACACTTCACTTTCCTCATCTAACTATAGACTTAACCATGGGTAGAGTTGAATCATGCATGAGTACTTGACTTGACCACATAATCATATATTGTTCTTTATTTGTGGTTTGCTTGTTAATTACTCCTTTACTTCATATATGGATTCTCGATATCTATAATGGGTGATTTTTTATTTAAAAGAAAAGGAAAACAACAAGAAATACAAGAGCACTGTTTCAGTGACAACAAAATTTGGACTTTTATGTTCATTACTTGAAAAAAATGTGGTCTTTTTTCCATCACTGAATGCTGGGAGCTTACGTCCATAGTCATAATGGAGGATAGTGGGAGGGTTTAATACTTGGAACCCACACCCATTCACGAGAGACAGAAGGCAGGACAGAATCTGCAGAATTTCACAGTGGCCCCGTGATGCTGAACCATTCAAGCTGCGTGTTATAATTAGGTTTCAATTAATGGTTGGATAATAGAAATGAAAAAAAAAACCAAATAATCTGGCGTTGTGAAAGCTATTATGAACTGCACAAGAAACAAATGCAGTAAGTACCCTCGAGTTTGAGAGAGCTTTCACGTGCCATCAAAAGCCTAACTTAACTTATCATAACTTCTTCCCTTCTCGTTTCCTTTGCTGCTATGGCTCATGAGGCACAGCCTGGAATCTTTCAAACTAAGCGTTTTCAATCCTCTCAGCTAACAAATTTTAATCAGTGTTATTTATTTCGTGGTTTGTTTTGATTTACGAACAAGTAGGAAACTATAATCATTAGTTTTACTATTTGTGATTTGTTGGAGATAATTTTATTTGAAATGAATTTGAAATCATAATTTGTTGAGTAGAATATTTGGTGATGACCGATTTATATATGGACTAAAAATAGATTCCATGATTAATTAAACGAAAGAAGAACTCTGTAATACTTCAACTTAAATTTATTTATTTTTTTCTCGATGCCACTACACGATTGTGATGGTAGAATTTAGATACTTTTTCTCTTTTCTTATTATTTTTTGTTTAGTTTTTGTTATTTATTTATTTTTTTCTCGATGCCACTACACGATGTGATGGTAGAATTTAGATACTTTTCTCTTTTTATTATTGATTTTGTTTAGTTTTGTATTAAAAATAATGATCTAAACGACATTAATGTTAATTCTTCCCACAGCTGGACTGTAACATCCTCAATATCGGGTTAATGATCAAATTGTAAAGTTTAGAATTGGGATTAGAGTAGAACCATGGATTAGTTCAATGATTTATTTGGAAATAAATCATAAAAGTTGTTAGTAATTATAAGATGAATTGAAGGGCAAAAGGGTCATTTGACAAGGAAGATTTTTATTTTCCTTATAAGATAAGGAAATCACGTGGGAAGAGAAAAAAGGTTCCAAAGTTCTCTTCTCTTCTATTCTTCCTTCTTCATACGTGAAGGCTTGACTCAAAGGTGAGTTTGTTTGTTTGTTGATTAATTATTGATTTTAAGGTTTGGTTATGATCATTAGATGATAATTAAGCTTAAGGAAAGCTTAATTTGTTCTAAAACAACAAGATAAAAGATATAGAAGAAATTAAAGAGAAGAAGTTTTTAGATGAATTTCTGGAAAAGAGTTGATAAGTTGAATTTGAGATCAAATTTGATTTGTTATCAACTTAATTAAGGGATATCAAGTGATGGAATTGAATTTAGAACAAGTAGAAAATTTAGTATGATTCTTGGATTTCATATGGAAGATATAATTTTGAGTTTAAAGAAGTGATTATGGAGTAGAAATGAGTTTAAGTATGTATATGAAAGTTAGGAATATTAAAGGAGGTGAAAGATGAAGAGTTAAGCTGAAAGAGAGTGGATTTCGTGCTTAAAATGTAAATTCTAGGTTGTGTGCATTTAGATTCTATTGATATGACTAATTTGTGCCTAGTTGCTAAGGATGAACATGATAGTTGGTTATGGCATAGAAGACTAAGATATGCTAGTATGAGTGTTTTGCAACGGTTAATTCAAGGTGATTTAGTTCGAGGGTTGCCTAAGCTTAAATTTGATAATGATAAAATCTGTGATGCTTGTGCTAAAGGAAAATAAAAGCGAGTTTCTTTTAAATCCATTAATGACGTATCAACTAGTAGAGTATTACAATTGATCCATATAGATCTTTTTGGGCCAACTAGGACTACTAGCTTGGGTGGAAAACAATATGTGTTTGTTGGTAGATGACTATTCTAGATACTTGGGTTCTATTGCTTAAGTACTAAAGATGAAGCATTAGAAAAATTCATCACGTTTTCAAAAGTAATCCAAAACGCTAAATGTAACATCCTAAATCAGGGTCAGTGACTAAATAACAAGGGTATTAATAGTAAAGTTAAAAGTTCATGGATTTAATTGAGGAAAGTTGATGTTAGATTTAATAGTAAAGTTTGGAAATAACAAGGGTATTATGGTCTTTTCCAAGAGAAGATTTTTTTTATTCTCTTTTTAAGTAAAAATTTGGGAAATGATAATTTCTCCAGAGTATTCTCTAGTCTTCTTTTTCCTCCTCTCCACCGTGAAGCCTTGTATAAGGTAAGTGGATCTTCAGTTGGTTAATTCTTTCGTTTTAAAGCTTGTTTTGATTCTTGGGATGCTAAGAAAGATTAAGCAAGCTTTAGGTGGCTTAAAAACTCAAAGATTAGCAAGTTATGAGAAATTAAGAAAATGAGTTTTTAAGTGAATTTTTTGAAATAGAAGGAGTTAATAGATTTGAAGTTTAATTTGACTTGTCAAGGGTTAAAAGAGATATGAAGTGATAGAATGGGTTTTAGAACATGTTGAAAATTTAGTGTGATTCTTGAATGCCATGTAAAATAGATTTTGAGTTTAAAGAAGTGATTATGGAGTAGAAATGAGTTTAAGTATGTGTATGAAAGTTAGAAATATTAAAGGGAGTGAAGTATGAAGTGTTGATCTGAAAATGAAGTGATTTTCGAGCTAAAAATATGATTTCTGGGCAAGGGGAATCGGTACCCATTCAAGGGGAACCGATACCCCTTCAAACGAATAAAAATTTCCAGAATGACATGAGGGAATCGATACCCCCATAGTAGGGAACCGATTCCCCCTAAAGGAAAATTGTGAATATT